ACCTACCATAACCCGACGGCGCAAGCGACGGCGTAAAAAACGTCGTCATTCAGCGCCGACGTTGGTAGCACTGACAGCAAGTGCATAAAGACAATTTTGCACAATCGAAATTGTGAATTGCTTATCATAAAGTTTTATTGTGAAGTGTTCAAAACACGTTCAATTTCTTAAGGAAATTTCTCTATTAAGGTGAGCTTTTAAAAAGAATGGTGAAAATTTTAAACAAAAAAATTCACACCAAATTTTTGGTTCTTTTTCTAGAAGTCCCGTTGGTTAACGGTACCGCACAGCAATATATGTATGCTGGGTACACGTTACCAACGTGAACAACACGTGCTTGGTGATATTCCATTGGCGATATTGAACCCTAAGGATTACTCCATCAACAATTCTGTTTGTTTTTTTTACAATTCCTTTACACGGCACAACGTTCCGGAGCCGGATTGCTCGCTTTGCTAATCGTCTGGATTTTTCGTGTGCTTTTGTGGATATTAAGGCAAATTATATCAGGCTTCCAGTACTCCGGGCATATAACCCCAACATCTCATTGCTATCAATTTTCAACATTTTGGCCAATAGTGAATCTTTTGGAAGCGACTATTAAGACCATTGTTCAACACAGTACCCAAAATCATTGATCACCAAAATTCTTTCAATTTTCAACAATACCGCATTGAACTTTTAAAGCTGTTAGTGCCGGCGTTCAACAAAATCGTAAGCTTCAAACCCAACGTGCTATAAAGAAGAAACGGAGTAAGTACGTCAACAAGAGCCCGTGAATATTTGACGCTGATAAAATCAGAGCAAGGGTAACCATCACCTCCAGTCACAGACGGGATGGTGTGGGCCCAGTTTTTTTAAAAGTTCCTCGACGGTCAGCCGAGATATTTCTCAATTATTTTGTTGTTTCTTTTGGACAAATTCCATATTCTTGTTTTTTTTTGTTGCAATTCAAATAATTTTAAATTGTTTTTAAAAATTATATGAGCCTGCACCAACGTACAAAATTAAAAATCTATTCATATGTACATAATTTCTTTTTTTTATTTCTTTAAAAATACGTCTATAGATATAAGAACATTATATATATATAAGAACATATATACATATATAGGCATACATGTATATGAGTATATATATATATATATATATATCTATATACATATATATGAGCATATACATATGTATATATATAAATCAATATAAATTTATATAAATATACAAATATTTCATTTTTTTTTATCATCATTTAGAGTCAATATTGTTAATTGTTAATCCCATTAGTTGAGAAAAACAGAATCAGCCCTTATTAATTAAAAGGACTATATAATAACCCCTTTGAGCTCAATAGGTGTTAGGTATTATTTGGATTATTAATTTAGTGCATATTGGCACCGAAATGGGATTGACAAACAAAAATTTAAATTAATAATTTTTGTATGTATCCTGCTGATTAAATTGTGCCTTTTTCTTTGATTTTTTTTAATTGTATAGATTTTGATTCCACTTATGGATATAATTAGATTTAAGTAAATCTAAGTATAATCTTTAAGTAGAAATTGTTTATTCTTAAAATGAATATGAATTTGAATAATGAATTTAAAAGAAAATAAAATGTGTTCTAGTTAATTAATTTAAAAAAAGGATATGTAAACAGGGTTAAGGTACAGCCGACAGAATTTGGGGGTCTTCAAATGTTTTGAAGCCCATATGGGGGTTCTTACAGAACCCATGGGAGGGATAAGAGGTACCCATTGTCATCTAGGGGTACCAACCACAACAACAACAATATTTTGAGTCCGCAACAACAACAAACTTAATCGATGGTATTTTCTTTGTGACATATGAATTTTGAATTCAGTACGTTATGTCCAATCTTGTGCAAATCGACGAAAATATGTATGGGAGCTATATCTATATCTGAACCGATTTTCACCAAATATCAGCGAACTCGATTGAATAACGCGCTCAAGAACCCCAAAATTCCGATATGCTTGTCCCCTTTTTTCTTAGATTAATTGATAATAACAATACATTATTCTCCCTTTCATTTCAGAAACCAAAAGTAATTAAAACCGAACCCGATTCACCTGATCGTTATTCACGTGCATCATCATCGACAAGTGTCAGTGTTAAACGTGAACCCGTATCACCCGATCGCAGTCCATCTTCGTCAACGATTGTACCGAATATACCAATCAAAAAAGAAGATCCCGATGGTGATGAAGTTCAGGTTAAAAAAGAAAGACCATCAACATCTCGTGGTGGTCCCGGAGGCGATGGTCGTAGTGGCGGTCGTGATCGTGTCAATCGCTATGAAGTATCATTGGTTTATACTAAACCCTCGGATGTTATAAGTAAAACCGGTTCGTTGGGTAAAGAAATTACCTTGCAAACAAATTATTTCCGTTTGCTAACAACACCCACATGGAAGATTCATCAATATCATGTTTCATTCTCTCCCGAAATTGAGTTGAGACGTCTCAAGAGTGGTATACTATCGGAACATCGTGAGCTGTTGGGTGGTTATTTATATGATGGTTCGAAATTATTTACCACCACCAAATTAAAGGAGGAGAAAACCATACTCCATACCAAGTCCAAACAAGGCGAGAACTATGTTATTACCATCAAATATGTGGGTGTTATTTCCATGACCGAATGGCAGTCTTTGCAAATTCTCAACTTGATTTTGCGGCGTTCAATGGAGGGCTTAAAACTTCAGCTTGTCGGACGTAATTTCTATGATCCTGTTGCTAAGGTAGGGGGTTTTTGGAGAAGTTCATATTGAAAGAATAATTTCTGATATTTCCAATTTTCAGATTGATTTACGTGAATATCGTATGCAATTGTGGCCGGGTTATCAAACCTCGATTCGACAACACGAAAAAGATATTTTGCTATGTGCTGAAATTGCCCACAAAGTTATGCGTACCGAAACCGTGTACGATATCTTTAGACGTTGCCAGGAAAATGCTCGAGATTTCCGTGAAGATTTTAAACGTCATATTATCGGCTTAACTGTTCTAACAGATTACAATAATAAAACCTACAGGATCAATGACATCGATTTCCACAAAACTCCCCGTGAAACATTTAGCATGAAAGGTGAAAAGGTTACCTTTATGGATTATTATTATAAGGTAAATTATGGCTTAATAAAAAATGTAGAAAATTATGTTAAAAATGCCTCTTTAATTATAGAAATACAATATTCGCATTCGTGATCCTCAACAACCATTGCTGCTATCAAAAGCCAAGGAACGTTCATTGCGCGGTGGCGAAAAGGAAGTTGTCATTTTAATTCCGGAACTTTGTCGTGCCACAGGCCTCAATGACAGTATGCGTAATAATTTCCAGTAAGTTTGAAAGTATTATCCTTTATTGAACTGTTGACCTATTAATGGAAGCATTTTCGTTACAGACTTATGCGCGCCATGGCCGATCATACCCGCATGAATCCCGATAGACGTATTGAACGTCTGCGTACCTTCAACGATCGCCTGCAACAAACCGAAGATAGTATGCGCATTTTAACAGATTGGAATATGAAATTGGATACCCGTTTGGTTGAGGTCAAAGGTCGCATTTTGGATCAACAGAAAATTGTCTTCAGAGATCACAGAAAGTAAGTATGGAAAAAGAAGGCATTTCTTGTTCGGATAGCACCACAATATCAGTTGAAGACTTAACAACCGAAAAGTTAATTGAAGGCATTATCTACCATCAACCTAGATAAGTTTTTCGAGGACATAGGGAAAATCATTCTCCGGTTTGAAACGTTGGATAATCAACTATATGTTTAGACGCCTGTTGTATTTGGAGTTCGGAAATGGGAAGTCCAACACTTGCAGTGTAGTATTCCCCAGAGCAGGGTGATTACGTACTGCGATCACCTTCTTAGGATCTCCTTAATTAAAGTGAGTAACCACTGGGAAAATTCGAGGGGAATTTCCCTTCTCACTACCTTAAGGTTTTTGTTTATGGTGTTTCAATTCAAAGCTGTGATGCATACAACGTATTAAGAAAATATCGTATGAGATGTGGAGGTTTAGCATTCCTATTGCACCATTCTGTTCAGTACATACCTATCTCGTTTGATTGAGATACTGCCGACGTAGAGGTGCTTAACGTATACATTACGGCCTTTAAATTTATGTGCCCTTGTTGTTCGTCAGGCATTCGAAATCTTCTGGAAGTCAATAACCATTCTGGTGCTGGGGGATTTCAATACCCATCATGTATTATTGCATTCCGCCCTCAGTAGGAGACTGCTAAAGCTCATCGAACATATCCATTGTGTCTTCAGGTCTGACTAATGACATAAATTGGTAATCCGCCATCAATAAACAAGCTGGATATATAATCTCCGAACGTCGTACATTCCTTAACCATTGGAAAGCACCAGTTTCGTCATCATATTAAAATCTTCCGCACAAACCACAGCTATCTTTTCAGGCTTCGGTCTGTTGCCAGCTATACGCGAGTTCTAGTGCTACGCAATGGAGTAGTATTTAAACCTGAGAACGGCAACATAAAATATATTAACTTGTGTTAGTTGAATTAGGGTTTGAAGAGGGTAGCCGGAGCAATTGTGGCACCTTTATTTTAAGCCATAAGTCTATGGGCAATAGACTTGTAGGCTCGGCCGACAATTGAATAGATGGTGATTGTCGTAAGGGATTTGCTGACAGAAGGAACAGCTATTTAGGATTCTGAGAACATTGCGGTACACGGATCTTCGGAGACTGCTTGTTGATGGAACGATTTAATCGCTATCGATGATCTGTTGACGTCCGATGGAATGATGTCTTGGATGTTTTCACGATAGTGCATGAAGTCCTGACGATTATGTCGTGGAGGTGGATCAGACATCACAATGTGATGGTTGAGATGACACGGCAGATAGCATGCCTGCAGGAATTGTCTGGTAAAAACACATTATGTTGCTTGACTAACAGCATCCTGGTCTCCTCATGGAGGTCACCTCCATGGTCTCCTCATGGAGGTGACCGAAGCTTGTTATCTATTATGTGCTTTCCGAATTTTAATCCTAGAGTTTACCTTTCTGGTTGACGTAGTTGTAATGTGAGAAGAAATGAAATAGTTTATCGATGGGGATACACATTTTAAAAGTCGAAACCTAATTTTCAACCTGTTTATTTGTTTTAAGGTTCCTCGTGCCAGGGCCGATTGAACTTTTTTTACATGTTTTAATAAAAAAAAACCTTTCAGAGAACCATCTGGTGAACAAGCCGATTGGACCCGCCATTGTCGTAGCATGGGCATGTTCACAACACCTTCCCGCGGTTTAGAACGATGGGCTGTCATTGCTACAAATCGTAACTCCCGAGACCTACGTAATTTTGTTGAATCGCTGATACGGGCGGCCAATGGTATGAACATGAGAATCGACAGACCGAGAGAGTAAGTAGCAAGGCATACTAGTTTAAGGCGATTATGTTTATATTAATTTTGTATTCATTTTTTTTTCGTTATAGAGTTATGATCTATGATGATCGTAATCATAGTTTTATACAAGCCATGGAAGATTGTTGCCGGCAAGATCCTCAGTTAATTATGTGTTTGGTGCCAAATAATAATGCCGAAAGGTAAGGAGGGATGTCATGTATTTTACATAAACTTATTCAAATGTTGGTTTATTTTTTCTATAGATACGCCTCAATAAAGAAAAAAGGCTGTCTAGAACGTGCTGTACCCACCCAAGTTATTACCCAGAAATCCGCCGGCAATCAACGTGGTCTTATGAGCATTTGCACAAAGGTAGCCATACAAATCAATTGTAAGCTGGGCTATACCCCTTGGATGATTGATGTACCGTTGTCGGGCCTGATGACCATTGGTTATGATGTTGCCAAGAGTGCACGTGATAAATCGAAGGCTTATGGTGCTCTTGTCGCAACTATGGATCTGAAAATCAATGCCACCTTCTACAGTACAGTAACTGAGTGTAGCTCTCATGATGTTTTGGCTAACAGTCTGTGGCCCATGATGACCAAGGCATTGCGTCAATACCGCAAAGAACATGATAAATTACCAAATCGTATTCTATTCTACAGAGATGGCGTTGGTGAGGGCTCGCTTAAACAGGTGTACGAGCATGAGGTCAAGGATATTGTGGAGAAACTTGAACAAGAATATAAACGGGCAAAAATGGAAAAACCACCTATGTTTGCATATATTGTTGTCACCAAATCCATTAATACTCGTGTATTTGCCCGAGGCCGTAATCCACCACCTGGTACCGTGGTCGATGATGTCGTCACCCTACCCGAACGTTATGATTTCTATTTAGTCTCACAATCGGTACGTCAAGGTACTGTGGCACCCACCAGTTACAATGTCGTATACAGCAATATTCGTCTTACACCGGATCAAATGCAATTGTTAACCTACAAAATGACCCATTTGTACTACAATTGGTCAGGCACTACACGAGTGCCGGCTGTATGTCAATATGCCAAGAAATTGGCATCATTGGTGGCTTCAAGTTTGTATCAGCCACCACAAAATGCTCTGGAAAAGAAACTCTATTATTTGTAAGCGTACATAACAGATTTCTCCCAGAGTTGGAAAGTTTACTTTCTACTTTCATTTTTTACTACTCATTTGAATCTCCTTATTTAAAAAATGGAAAAATTTAATATTTACTATCATCTACTTGTTTTGTTTAGATATTAAGAATTTCTAAATTTAAATATTTTATTTTATGAAAACGACAACCAGTCATTTAACAAATTATCAATAATCCCAAACTGTGTTCAAACAGTTTTACATTTTCGATTTCAATCTCGCTCTCTCATTCAGTCGTCTACCTAGCTATTAGCCATTCTTAGCCTCTAACACAAACATATATAATTCTTTAAAATATTAATATAAAGAAATTTAATAATTTCGTTTGTAACATTGTTTAAAGTATATAATGAATAATATGTACTACGTGATGTATAGACAAACAATGCAAATATTGTTTGTTGTTGTCGTCGTCTACATATTTTTTTGTAACAATTTATGAATTTCTGGAACAACATCAAACATTGTCTTGAAAAGCATATGCATATACTCATTTTCTAACATTTTTTTTAATTTCATTGTTCAAAAAAGCGCAAAGCTAGTTTGTCATTGAGACCAACTCTTAAGTTTTTATGTTGTCGAACTGAAAAAAATACAAAAATGCAATGAAAAATTTAGTCTCCTTTCGTTTGATATGTTTTCTAATATCTTTATTTTAAAATTATTTTATCTGAATTTTGGAAATACAAAAAAATATATAAATAACATTTTAATGGTAATATAAATTATAGATGTTGGTTTTATTTCAATGGGAAAAATAATTCAAAATGTGGGGGAAATTTTTCCGATAATTGCAGGTTGTTTCTTTAATAAATCTATGCCTTATGGGAGCCCAGGAAAAATATTTTCTTTAATGAATCTATGCCTTATGGGAGCTTAGGAAAAATATTTTCTTTAATAAATCTATGTCTTATGGGAGCTTAGGAAAAATATTTTCTTTAATGAATCTATGCCTTATGGGAGCTTAGGAAAAATATTTTCTTTAATAAATCTACGCCTTATGGGAGCCCAGTAAATATTTTCTTTAATAAATCTACGCCTTATGGGAGCCCAGTAAATATTTTCTTTAATAAATATACGCTTTATGGGAGCCCAGGAAAAATACTCTTTAATAAATCTACGCCTTATGGGAGCCCAGGAAAAAGACTCTTTAATAAATCTACGCCTTATGGGAGCCCAGGAAAAAGACTCTTTAATAAATCTACGCCTTATGGGAGCCCAGGAAAAAGACTTTAATAAATCTACGCCTTATGGGAGCCCAGGAAAAAGACTCTTTAATAAATCTACGCCTTATGGGAGCCCAGGAAAAAGACTCTTTAATAAATCTACGCCCTTTGGTAGCCCAGTAAATAATTTCTTTAATAAATCTACGCCTTATGGTAGCCCAGTAAAAAAATTCTTTAATAAATCTACGCCTTATGGTAGCCCAGTAAAAAATTTCGTTAATAAATCTAAGCCTTATGGGAGCCCAGGAAAAAGACTCTTTAATACATCTACGCCTTATGGGAGCCCAGGAAAAAGACTCTTTAATAAATCTACGCCCTTTGGTAGCCCAGTAAATAATTTCTTTAATAAATCTACGCCTTATGGTAGCCCAGTAAAAAAAATCTTTAATAAATCTACGGCTTATGGTAGCCCAGTAAAAAATTTCGTTAATAAATCTAAGCCTTATGGGAGCCCAGGAAAATATTCTTTAATAAATCTACGCCTTATGGGAGCCCAGGAAAAGTATTCTTTAAAACAACTACCCTTTATGGGAGCCCAGGAAAAATGTTCTTTAAAAAATCAACGCCTTATGTGAGCCCAGGAAAATATTCTTTTATAAATCTATGCCTTATGGGAGCCCAGGAAAAATATTCTTCAAAACAACTACACCTTATGGGATTCCAGGAAAAATATTCTTTAATAAATCTACGCCTTATGGGAGCCCAGGAAAAATATTCTTTAATAAATCTACGCCTTATGGGGTACAGGAAAAATATTCTTTAATAAATCTACGCCTTATGGGAGTACAGGAAAAATATTCTTTAACAAATCAACGCCTTATGAGAGCCCGGGAAAAATAAATGTTTTTTTAATATTAATTTTTATTTCTGTTAAGATGCATCTAAAAAGCACTTTTATTTATTTTTATTGCTCACTTAAAATTGGAATATAATCGTGTATTATTAAATTAAAAAAAAAAAAACAACATTTCGATACATATAAAGCACACACCAGCTAGTTTCCTAATCATCCTGACCGGTGGTAAGGAGCTTTAAGGCTTTTTGCAAATTAACTATTGCCGTCTTAACATCATCATAGTTAAGGGCACTGCCAGCATATTTGCAATACTTTTGGGCTGTTATCATTTGTTCGGGTGTAATTTGTATATTAGCAACGGGCGTTATTGGTGTGTATACTGGATGTGGTGTTGCGGGTGGTACAAACGGCTCAAAACCGCCAGGTTTTTCTTCTTCCACGGGGGGAGATGGTAATTTACTGGGGTTATTTAGAACTTCTTCAACAGTTGGTGGTGCCTGTGATGGAGCGGGATTTTCATTTTCCTCCGTTGCAGCATCATTTGAATTATCATCACCACCAGCGGCTTCATTAAATTCATTCGTAGGACCATCCTCTGGGGTAATTTGATTTGAACCCATAGTATTATTATCGATATTACTTTCATCGTTATCATCACCTTCTTCTTCGTCTTTCATAGGACCCGATATGGGAACTTCGCCATTCTTTAAACAATTGTGTATGTACGCTGCCTTCCATTTGGCATATTTACGATTATGTATGGCTTCTTCGGTAAGCTCGCCATAGGTTTGCAATACATCATATATAACACCGGCTGAATAGAAGGCTTTAACAACGTTTCTAAAGTGATGAGGTTATTATTTTTGTAATAAGTATACCTATGTGTTATTTTTTATTTTAAAATTTTCTTACTTTCCAAAATTGCCTTCCCTGTCGTGTTTGTCGGCATAAAGAAAAAGTTTCAGGGCATAGTTCTCCATATGAGCCTGAGCAGCAACTTCATTCGTTATAGCTTCATTCTCCGATTGTTCCTTTTTAACGGTTTCCAACCAGTCCATAATAGCTAGAAATAAAGCGCATTAGATTATTTGTTTATTTTGACTAGTTGAATTTTGGGAAAACTCCAGGGAAATTTACTTTGGCCACACAGACACTAGACTAGTTAACCCATTTTTATTTTATTTTTTCGTGTTCGAAACTATTAAACCAAGAACTTTGCATGCGACTTTATTGGTACGAATAGAACTAAAATATGCTAAAAATGATAACAATTATATTGAGCGAACGAGAAGGGCTAGAACTAAAAGGTACTTAAAATGAGAACTACTGAGTGAACGAATAGGCCTAGGAAGCACCTATATGTGTGTAGTTTTGAGGTGAGAACATAGAAAAGTTTCTATATTTTTAAAATCTTGACTGTGATATAAATTAATATACAATTTTGTAATCCACCTATATGAGGACTTCCGGTAAACGGTAAGGTTTCTTAATATTAAAAAATATATATATTCATCGTCATGACAATACTTCTTGAAATGGGAAATCTATACACTACATGTATATGAGGTAATCCATTTTCTTTGGAACCCCTTCTTTAGGTTTCCTTACCCAATAACAGTTTGGTTTCCTCTGGCTGTTGGGTTGTAAGTTTCAAAGCCACCTGCAGGGCACTGAAGGAAAAGAAACAATATGTTAAAACATCAATAGAAAACAAAAAATATATCTTCCAAACTTACTATAATCTAGACCAATAGGCCACAACAATGTCTCGGGAATCATGTTCCTGGGCAATTTTTAGAAAATGTTGAATCTGCTTCAATGATGCAGGGCAAGGAGGAAACTCCATTTTGCGTTGAGATTTATTTTTACAAAATTAATTAGTATCAAAATTGTTTACCGTCCACTAGCAAAAACAAATGAATGAATCACAACTGGAAACGTCTTTGCAAAAATTCCGTCATTCTGTTAGGGTGCATCTTAAAGAGAGATGTGTGACAAATGTTGCTTAGCTAATTTAAAATTATTTGATGAAATTGATAATTAATTTTAATATTTTATTAACAACTAAATTCATACATGTATTAGGAATCTCTTATATCCATTTGAATAATATTTTATTTAATATTCTTCTTACCATATTCAAATTGCCGTATTTTGTACGCCGCTTATTAGTTGCACTCATACGTAATCAGCTGTGTGAAAATTGATTATTAAGGGTCTTCACGTGCTGGGACCAACAAATTATATCCTCAAGATTGATTAATATCTATTATCAGTCAAAGATGTATTGAGCGAGATAGGTAATATTCTCTTGAATTTCAGGAAATTTTAAGTCGAGATAGCATTCTTGATATGTTAAATACTTTTTTCATAAAGACCCAGCATTTGTAGTACTTTGACATTGTTCCGGATTCCGAGTAGATCTAAACTGTCAATTGAATTACATATATGACAAATGAATACTCATAGAGGAGGTTAACCCGGCAATAATTTCTAATGTAAATGCAGTTTAAAATACCTAATATTTCAATATTGGCCCGTTTTGAAGATAGCCCGCATATAAAGGTCTCGAAACCTTTTCGCTATGTTAAATGTCCCAGCCGCATTTTAATTCATTTGTTTTTTATATATTAAAAAAAGTCCAGGTAGATAATATAGAATAGCCTTAAATGTTCTGATTACAAAGACATATCTTATGGCGACCAGATTTTGAAAATGAAAATAGATTACAAAAAAGAAAAAAGTTTATTTCTAATTAAAATACTAGTAGGTTAAATATATAAAATGTGTTAAAAAGTCGTTAAAAGTTTTAAGCGAATAATCTCGATATCATTTACATAAGGATATCGTAGACTATATTTTTCCAGGATATTTTGCAACCCATAAGCCACGAGGATAGTAAATTACATTTACTTTTGAAGGTAAATTTTTAATAAATTTAAAAAAAAAAAATGAAAATGTAGGTTTATATTCGGAACACCTGGAAACATAGAACCCACGTGTCAAGGAACCCTAAAAATACCAACATTTAATAATTAATATTTTTTTATGGAAATTGGTTACTCAATTAGAACACAAAATATAAAATAACAGATAATTCGGTCGAAAAATGCGTCTAAAAATTCTGAAAATACCTAAAATACCTTTTCTTAATATTAATAATTTGTTTTCATCTACAAAAATAAATATTCTTCAAAGTTTTACAAATATAGGTGACAAAGATGACCGATTATAGAAATAAATGACAGATAGAGAACATACATTTTATAGATGACAGCTAGTTAAAATAGATAATTGTCCTCTAAAAAAGGGGACGTATATTCACCTTACATATCTATACTTCTTGATATACTACGGGATATACAGTGGTGGCCAAAACTAAAGCAACTGAAATTGCAAACTGCATAAAGGACCTGTATTTTTTTTTAATAAAGTTACAGTGAAAGTTTGTATAAATGCAAATTTATTTAGAAATAGAAAATATTCTATGAAAATCTAAATTGAGTCAATTTTTGCTAGGTCAAAACTAAATCATATAAATCAAAATCAAATTTTGCTAGTAATCGACAGCATAACCATTACTTTTCATTACGGCAGCACGCCTACGAGGCCTGGAATCAATAAAACGTTCAATTTGTTCCATGGGTATACTATTCCTTGCACCCTGAACCTTTGGGAAGAGGTTATGTCTGTTTGTTTTGTGAAACTCTTTTGATTTTGCTATCTATGATACTCCAAAGATTTTTCTATATGATGATTGTTTTGGTCCAACCAATGTTTGACTCTTTTTGGTGTATGTTTGGGAGTTATTGTCAAGATAAAAAAACAAACAATCTGTATATTTTCTTCAGCTTGAGTTTTTCACCAAATTTTTAAAAACAAACAGATCCATTACTTTATAAATTGCGTAAGTATATCAAACTCCAAAAATGAACAGCCCTATACCATTATTGACCCTCCTCCATTCTTCCCCTGCAATACTGTGGGATGAGTCTTTCATTTTTGGACGGTAATTTTTCATGTCTGAGTGTTCAATGTTTAACTTTAATTCATCCGAGAACATAATATTTCTCCACTGAGTCAGATTCCAATTGATATGAGTTTTTGCGAAAGCTAATCTGGCTTTCCTATTCTTTTCAGAACGTTTCCAGGCATGTAGGCCTGATACCATAGCTCGTACACGCTCTGTTCTTGAGGTTATATCCAACGATAACCATCTCATAAACTCTCTGTTGAACTCTAAATGTTTTTTTTTTTTTTTTTGCTGCTATGACAATTTGCTTATCAGCTTTCCTCCGTGCTGAACTTTCCGTACTGATATAGTTGCATAAAATCAACTTATATATTGAGAAATCACTGATTTATTCATGGAATATTTTTCCGAAATTATTTTCTGTGATAAATTATATTCACAATCACTGGTAAAGTAGTGAAGTCGGACAGGGCCGACAATATGATACCCTTCACCACTATGGATATATTAAACAGATGCATCCTAACAGACTTCGCCTTTTTGAAGAAACATTGACATGAAATTGAACGAATTCAAGTATGTGATCTTTATCTATATCTAAACCGACTAACATCAATCTCTACACATGTCCTTCTGCAACCTATACTAAATTTTGTAAATCGATTTAAAGTAAACTTGACCCACGCTATTTGGTATGCTGCAAAGTTTAAAATTTAATCTCAATCAGACATCCAGATTACTTGGTGTACAGTTAACATATATAGGTCGAAATTATATATAGAAGCTATGACATATCCATATCTGAACCGATTTCCAAAATAACAAAATTCGTGCAAATCGAAATATATATAGAGACTTTAGTAATGCCATGTCCAGACGAGCGTTGTTCGCTCTCTCATTCGTTGTTCGACCCTTAATTATGAAGGAATTACTTAGTTCCCCATACAAAATTGTCTGAGCGAACACCGACTTTTGTACGTTGTTCAATTCGAATCACTCTCTGAATAACCAATAAATTTGTCCCATCCCTAACAATTGAGAGTATTTATCGAAAATAAATTAATTTTGACAGTTTGAAAATATTTATGAAATTTTCAAACTTTTTCAGTAAAATTGAAAATCATGAATGAAAAGTAAAAAATTTTATAGTTTTTATATATGCAGCAGGATGTAAATTTTGTTTTCTACATAATGCAATATGCATTTCTTTTTCCTTGGTTCTAATTAGCGTACAAAACAAGAAACAAATGTGGGGCAACTCAAACAAAAAATTCTCCAAAATTTTATTTGTGACAGTATGTGACATTTGAATTGAGAAAATATAAAAATGTATTAAAAACAACAACATTTTCAGAAAAAATGGAAAACATGAATGAAAAGTAAATAGATATGGGTTCATACTATAGTCAGGAGAAAGAGAATTATTTTTTCTATTTAGATCCCTATGTAATTCACTAAAATATGTTACATATTTGGTGTAAAACAAGAAACAAAAAATTTGAAATAAAAAACTCTGATGATATGAATTATGAATAGTGTTGTATGAACGGGTTAATTCATGTACGTAATTCTGAGAGCGAACTACGTTGTTCGGATGCCCGTCAGAACATGGCATAAATTAATTACCTTAAATTGGACGAAAATATATATGGGAGCTATATCTAAATCTGAACCGATTTCCACGAAACTTTACACACATTATTCTAGACCTAATTTAGTACGCTATGCCAAAATTCGAGCAAATCGAATGATTTTCAGGGACTTTGATGCACCATTTACCTAAAATCGGGTGAAACTATCAGCCTGTTTTTGTAAAATTCCAAACGAACGAATTCGAGTGACTTACGACCAAACTCCTTGGTTTTGAAAAATATGTCATTTATTTTTGTTTTGAATCAGAAAACCTTTATAAACATAAATAAAGGTTTGGTCGTAAGTCACTCGAATTCGTTCGTTTGGAATTTTACAAAAACAGGCTGTATATATGGAAGCTATATATAAATCTGAATCTATTTTCACGAAACTTAGCACACATCATTCTAGACTTAATTCAGTAGGCTATACCAAATTTCGTGCAAATCGAAAGATATAGGGAAGATATATAGGGATTTTTTTTACATTAAATCGGACGAAAATATATATGGGAGCTGTATCTAAATCTGAACCGATATTCACCAATTTCAATAGGGTTCGTCCTTAGGCCAAATAAAATTTATTAAGCTATGCCAAATTTCATCCAAATCTGATTATAAATGGGACCTGTACTTTGTTTGCAATTTAACATCAACTGACGGACAGACAGACGGACGGACATTCATAAATCGACTCAGAAAATGATTCTATTCATATTCTCTCATAAGTCTATCTCGATTCCTTTTCCCGGTTACAAACATATGCACAAAGACATAATACCCTGTAACACAGTGTGGTTGCTTTAGTTTTGGCCACCAGTGTATTTGCGATGAACTCGGAAATCATGCCCGCCGTCGAAAAGAAGGTATAATAAACAATCGGCCTGAAGGGAATTTGTCTCAGAATAATCACAATCTTGAAAGGAACAGCACGTTTGGCACAGAATTAGCCTTGGCAAATAAATTGAATTTTTTATAAGAATTTTTTTTATTGTTTTTTATATTACAATTTTTGTACCAAACTATGTGGCGATGTGGTTAATGTTGGTCTAATTTATTACCCCATATATAGAAGTACCCCTTAATTGATGATTATATATGAAGAGTTGAACACGGAACTATTTTTGTTGAGTAATATTTAAAATGGCTTTTCTTCATATAGTGTACACCGCAATTTAAATTTTAATATCATTGACCGGTCTCACCAATTAAAAAAATTCCACAAATATAAACCATTTTATATACTTCGATTAATATAAGGGGGTTATTTCCAGCAACTCCCCCTCTAAATTAATAATAAAAAAAAACTCCATAATCACATTAGTATTTCAATTTCATTTATTGTTGCAGAATTAAATTCAATCACCAATGGCAAATGAAATTTAACACAGAATGTTTTTAAAACACACACTGCCGTTCGCTGGAGAGATAGAGATGGCGCACAAATTTTATGAATTATTCTTTAAAAGTAATCTAAAAAATACATGTATTTCATCGATGCTAGATAATCGTAGATTTAGACATCATAGCCAACAATGTGGCGTTTGCCGATGCATTCACCAATGTAGAACCAGAAGACAACTTCCATGGTGACCAAAGTGTTCAACCAGGCTTCACGAACGGTCAAGTTCTTGTAAGCACCGGTACGAGCACCAGTAACCAAGCGGCCGATACCTTGACGAATAGCAGGAATGTCAGCTGGTGTGGGTGGAGTTAATTCCACCTTGGCGTATCTCAAGAAGGTGTCCAATTGAGGACGAGCTTGAGTAAGCAATCCTAAATGGAAAGACAAGAAAATCAAATATTAATATTCCAGCAGCCGTAACATGAAGAAGTTTGCAAGTCCATGACAAAAAATGAAAACATTACATAATGAAAATGTAAGGTTAGACTTGAGTATTTTTCCAAATTGGAGAATATTTTCGTGTGTTTGGTTTTCAATTTTACTTACTGTTCACTAATGTGGATCCCTTTGTAGCAACACCAGCCATTTTCTTTGTTTATTCGTGGACAAGTAATCTGCAAAAAATCAGAATAATTTTAAATATAACACGGAGCGTCGTAAAATTGGTATTTTTCGCAGTACCTGTCAATGAAATACACAGTTGGAAATGTATGCGTCAATCACAATAACCAATGAGATGTTGATTCACATAGTAGTAGGTAGTATCGGTATGTGATTTGCCAACTACATATAAAAAAACAGATGTTGATGCAAATACTAAAAGATGGCGCTGTACATGATTAAATTGGCGACAAAATTTAATAGGATGGGCTTTTACAAACTTGATGTTGTTTTTGTTGCAGTTTCCATCCGAAAGGGCAGAAATTTATGAAAATTTATCAAAGGAGATCGAACACAATTTTGATTAAAAGAACAGTTTGGGAGGTTATTAAAAATAACACAAAAACGAGTAAACAGTTAAACTTTATACAAAATTATCAGCTCCTTCCTAAGTCGATTAATGCATGTCCGTCTGTCTGTCCATGTTAAATTGTAAACAAAGTACAAGTCGCATTTATAAGCCGAATTGGATGAAATTTGGCACAGCTCGTTTGTTTGGTCCTAGGACGAACCCTATTGAAATTGGGAAAAATCTGTTCAGTTTTAGATATGGCTGCCATATATATTTCGCCCGATTTAAGGTAAATGGTGTAACAAAGCCCCTATATATCATTCGATATGCACGAAATTTGTCATAGTTGTCTGAATTGAGTCTAGAATATTATGTGTTAAGTTTCGTGAAAATCGTTTCAGATTTAGATATAGCTCACATATTTTTTCGTTCGATTCATATATATATATATATATATCTTTCGAGTTGCACGAAATGATGTGTGAAAAGTTTCGTAAAAATCGGTTCAGATTTTGATATAGCCTTTGACTTACTGCAAAAGAAAAAAATAGAAAGGACTGAAAAAAATACAGTACTACGATAAAACAGCTAAATGCCAGTGATTGCGAATAAAATTTATCACAGAAAATGATTTCGGAGAAATATTCCATAAATTAATCAGTGATTTCTCGAGTTATAAGATGATTTTATGCAACTCTATCTGTCCGTACTGATAGAGGATCAACTAACTGTCATAGCAGCAAAAATACCAATTTAACAGTTCAACGGAATTTGTGAGACGGTTATCGTTGGATATAACCTCAAGAACAGAGCGTGGATGACTTATTGTAGAAGGCCTACATATTTTGTTCTTGGATGAATGAATTGAAACGATCAAGAACGTTCTGAAAATAATAGTAAAGCCAGATTGGCTTTCGCAAAAGCTTATATTAATTGGAATCTGACCCAGTGGAGACATATTTTGTTCTCGAATGAATTAAAGTTAAACACTCAGACATGAAAAAAATTACCGCGAGAAAATCCAAAAATTAATGGCTCATGAAAATCTTTGGAGTATCTAGTTCAGTGTTGGGCAAAATTAAATTGAGAGCAAGTTTGTGCGAGCGTAACTGAGAATTCACAATTAAAAACGACTGACGCAAAGAGAAAGAAAGAGAAAATGTGTTTACCCATCGAGCCTCAGTTACGGTAGCTTATATGGGTAAGCATGCCTGATCTAGGTAGCAATGGCTCAGGATGCAAGAAATAGTACATCCAGGGATCAAATTGAGCATTTTATTGATTTAATACCTCGTAGATGTGTTGCCGTAATGAAAAATAATGGTTATGCAGTTGATTACTTGCAAAAATTGCTTATTTATAAAAAAATCAAAAAGTTAATTTTGTTTTGAGCAGCATTAATTGGGCCAATTTTATTTATAAATACATTTTTGGTTCAAATTGTTTTAATGAAGAAATTACCTATTTAGATCCTTGCATTACGGGAACAGACAAATTACGGGTATGTTCTGTTCACGTTGTGTTGTTTTCACTTCACACATACACTTCCCCTCAGAAGTTACCTCCTGTTCTGGTTCTCACGTGAATTGAAATTTTCAACTGCGACAAAAATAAACACCAACATGGTACTTTGCAGAAATAGTGTTGCCATACATTATAAACTGTATTCGTTTTTAACATGGTTTCTCTAATTTTTTACTAATTTCGTTAGTTCTAACGATAATTTTGCTATTATTTTTTAATATTTTATTATTCGCAACATAAAATATATGTATGAAAGACTCTGTAATATCATTAATTTGTTGATTGATTTAAGAGGATCATATGGTAACCCTGTCTTCTTTGGCCTTACTTCAAATCAGCTGTTTGTGGCAAGCGAGCAATACAGTTGAAGAAAATGGAACACAACCCTTAGTGAATAACCCGACTCTCACTATGAAAATGTTAGTGTAAAGAATACACCTCAAATGGGTGTAAAGTGTGTTACAGAACACCTCGGCGTGTGTTCGATACACTTCTGCCCTTGAAGTGAATGCCAGAACATGCCCGATAAAATGGAAACATATAAGGTATATAATTTTGAGTTCAAAAATTTGATTTTATTTACATTTTTATTTACAACATTCCTATGCTAGAAGCCCCCTACAAAGTTTTTATTTACTATTTTCTCAAAATGCATTTTGTCAAGTCTTTACGGTTTCTATCATAGTGCAATACGATCTAATAATGAATAATTAATGAATTTATACTACTACTTACTGAAAATGCATTTTTGAACCCCATTCATTTGGAACTCCATATATCTGGAAGCATTGATTTCCCTTCTAAAAATTCGACCATTCACACGACTACAAATTCCAATAGGTGAAACATATATTTTGAATGCAGATCTCTGATTTTATTTATATTTTATACACACATTTTTTGCTCATAGGCGTTTTTATTCTTATAATGCCTCTGTTATGCTTGATTCCCTCTAGAAATGTTTTCATAAACTATTTTGTCAAAATGCATTTTGTTGAGTCTTTACGATTTTTATAGTTTGTACTCAATATCATAAGGTAATTATTTCGTAAAAATCTAAAAATTTTCTGAGAGGTACATTTGTGCCAAGTATTTTGACGTTCCCATTGTGTTTTGTTTTAAAACGACTATATCGTACTACAACGATAACAATGATACAATTCGATAAAAAACGATAACATGCAGCCAATCGATTTATAGATCCCTGAAAAAACAACTCACGCCTTTTTCTGCAAACGAAAAAAA